GAAAAGGAAAGCAAGAAAGAGAAAGAGAAAGAAAGATTACTAATAAGGAAAACACATGATCCAGGAAGTTGGGGATCCAACATAGGGGGGTGGCCAAAATTCCCAAAATAATGACAAAGGAAATCCTAAAATGAGGGCTGAGCAATAATTCAGAAAGCAAACCAATCCACACTGGAGTAGGGGAGAGAAGGACCAGCACCACCATCTCCCAGGAAAAAGAAATGAAACTGGAGTGCTTAACTGAAAATACTGAAAGATGATCAGTTCTATCAGAGGGTTTAAGGATGAATTAGTATCTGAGAGTAAGACAAGCAAATTGAAAAAAAAAAAAAAAAAGAAAGCAGCATATATTTAAAGAGAAACAAAAGTTGTACAAGAAGAAAATGTAGCATATTGTCATAGTCATATAAATACTGAATACTGACTTAACTGAGAATTGTAAAGCTTTTTTTTTTTTGTCCTTTGTGGGGCCTGAACTCTTGAGTCTGGCTGTCCCTCAGCTCTTCAGCTGTAGACTAGCGCTCTACCTTTTGAGCTTCAGCCCCACTTCCGGCTTTTTCTGCTTATGTGGTGCTGAGGAATTGAACCGAGGGCCTCATGCATGCAAGGCAAGCACTCTACCACTGAGCCACCTTCCCAGCCCAGAGAATTGTAAAATATGAGTAAGGATGAATGATGGTTGTGTCTAAATTCTCAATTTCCAAAACAGAAGTCTAGGGCAAGAAATGTGGCTTAGTGATAGAATGCTGGTCTAGCATGCATGAAGCCCTGGGTTCGATTCTTCATACCACATACACAGAAAAGCCAGAACTGGTGCTGTGGCTTAAGTGGTAAAGTGCTAGCCTTGAGCAAAAGCAGCTCAGGGACAGTGCCCAGGCCCTGAATTCCTGCCCCAGCACTGGCAAAAAAAAAAAAAGAAAAAGAAAGAAAGAAAAAGAATAAAAGTAACCAAAACAGAAGACCATGTGTGATATCCAAAGATAAAGAACCACGGAATAGTTGTATAAATATTAAAAACAAGATAAATTAAAAAGTACCAGAGGAACTGCTAAGAATTGACAAAGGTTGAGAGGTTGAATCTGTCAACGACTGATTAATTAATTGAGGTTCATTTTTTCTGTTGTTGGTCATAGGGCTGAACTCTGGGCCTGGGTGTAGTCCCTCAGCTCTTCAGCTCAAGGCTGGCGCTCTACCACTTGAGCCACAGTGCCACTTCCGGCTTTTTCTGTGTAAGTGGTACTGAGGAATAGAACCCAGGGCTTCATTCATGCTAGGTAAGACCTCTACCACTAAGCTACAACAATTATAATAAAGAATGCTCAACAGAAAACCTTTTTTATTTTTGTTAGCATACGTTGTTGGAGGCTAATGGTACCAAGTTTTGGTTAACAAAGGATCAACACATATTTCAACCATCACAGAAATAACAATATTAGTATTCTAATGATTATAAATAGTACATTTACTGCTAAAAAATTTATCATACTATTTAAGTGTTATAAAACTACTTTAGAATATTTCTTCAGCTGGGCATGGTGGCTCACACCTGTAATCCTAGCTACTCAGGAGGCAAGGTGGCTCACACTTGTAATTCTAGCTACTCTGAAGGCTGAAATCTGAGGATCTCAGTTCAAAGCCAGCCCATGCCATGAGACTCTAATCTCCAATAAACCACTCAGAAAACTGGAAGTGGGGCTGTGGCTCAAATGGTAAAGTGCTAGCCTTGTGCTGAAGAACTCAGGGACAGTGTCCAGGCCAGAGTTCAAGCCCCACAACCACCAACAACAAAAAAGAATATTCTTCAATTACAAGAAACATTAACCTCTGGGTTGATAAGCATTGATTAACAGGAGACCCTATCACTTGAGCTATACCTCCAGCCCAGCTTTTTGCTGGTTAATTTGGAGACAAGAGTATAGCAAACTTTTCTTCCCAGGCTGTCCTCAACCAAATATCCTCCAGATCTCAGCCTCCTCAGTAACTAGGACCATAGGCCTGAGCCACAGCACCCAGCTAACTTTTACTAATTTTAACTCATACAAAAAACAAAAAAAGAGGGGCTGGGAAGGTGGCTCAGTAGTAGAGTATTTGTCTTGCATGTATGAGGCCTTGAGTTTGATTCCTCAGCACCACTTAAGCAAAAAAAGCCAGAAGTGGCACTGTGGGCTGGGAAGGTGGCTCAGTGGTAGAGTGCTTGCCTTACATGCATGAGGCCCTGGGTTCGATTCCTCAGCACCACATAACCAGAAAAAAAAAAGCCGGAAGTGGCGCTATGGCTCAAGTGGAAGAGCGCTAGCCTTGAGCTGAAGAGCTGAGGGACAGCGCCCAGGCCCACAACTCAGGCCCATGACTGGACCTCCCCCCCCAAAAAAAAAAGAAACAGAAATGGCACTGTGGCTCAAGTAGTAGAGCGCTAGCCATGAGCTGAAGAGCTCAGAGACAGCGCCCAGGCCCAGAGGTCAGACCCTACTACAACAACAACAACAAAAAAAGAACTTGAACTTGGAATCATAAGGTAAAAATTTAACCAAGAATAATGGATCCTGATACAATGCGAAAATTTTCCCCTTCAAATTAAAAGCAAATGTTTTAAACAGAGAAAATGTACATAAGCAGATGTTACGGAGGTTTACATTTCATTTTGCACTGGAGGAATGAATAGGTGTGACTGAAAAATAATTTTAAAGAGAATCTTAAAAAAAAAACACTCCATTATTCATATCATTCAATATAATTTATTTTTGCCACCACTATTTTGAATCAAAAGAAAATAGAAATATTCTCAAAGTATGGGGTATGTGTGTGCCAGTGTTGGGGCTTGAACTTAGGGTCTGTGCTGTTCCTGAACTCTTATATGCTCAAGGCTACTGCTCTACCACTTAAGACACAGCTCCATTTCCAGCTTTTTGGTAATTAATTGGGGATAAGAGTCTCAAGGACTTTCTCGCCCAGGCTGACTTCAAACTAAGATCCTCAGATCTCAGTCTCGTGAGTAGCTAGGCTTATAGGCATGAGCTACCCATGCCAGGCCTCAAAGTTTTTTTTTAAATAACTGAGTTAGCTAACTTCTTAACACTCTACAAAGTTAGAAGGGCAAAAAAGAAACAGAAAAGCATCTTCCAACCAAAGTAACAACTACCTTTTTTTTTTTGTCAGTCGTGGGCTTGAACTCTGACCTCTGTCCCTGTGCTCTTCAACTCATGGTGAACGTTCTACCGCTTGAGCCACAAAGCCACTTTCGGTTTTCAAGTGGTTTATTGGAGATAAGAGTCTCATGGACTTTCCTGCTGGTCTGGCTTTGAACCATGACCCTCAGGTCTCAGCCTCCTGAGTAGCTAGGATTACAGGCGTGAGCCACCAGCGCCCGGCTTACAACTACCTTTTAAAATTTAAATAATTTGGTTTAAAAATATTATAGCAAGGAATAGCTAACTAGTGCTACACTAACAACTTCTTTTCTATTTGGTCCACATTAACTGTAACTCCCCATAACCTTACCAAGACCACAAATTCAGGCAGGCAGTCCCACTAAGCAAAATCTATGGGAACCTGCAAAGCTTGCTCCTTTCTCAGGGGATGAAGACAATGAAAAAAGGTGTTTTCCAGTAGTCCTGTAAGAGGAGCCATTGAGCTGGGCTGCACAACCAGACAACAAAACACAGGAAAATTCAGATCAAAGCAAGGGCGCATGCCAGGGTAATAAGCAATAAAATCCTTTGCCAAAGAATTAAGAAGAAAAAAAAAAAAAACAGCAAAGAGATGGAGGGAACCTGCTGGACCACCTTCTTATTAACACAGGGAGGCAAGAAGAAACACAATCTTTCTGCACTTAGAAGCCATGAAAAAACGTCCTACATATGTTGGAGTATTCCTTCAGACACGTACAAAGACACATGATCAATGAATTAACCCCAGAAAGCAGGGTCCCGTACAATGGAGTATTGCCACTGTACACAGATGAGTCTAGAACCATTAGCCAAATCCCAGAAGCGTTGTTCTAAAGATAGACAAACGCGAGAAGACAAACATGCGTTTTCAATGAACAAAACTGTTGTTTTTTTTTTTTTTACAGTGAGAAACCAGGAACTGCGGTTTGAAATAACACCTGAGACAGGAGGAGGAGAAGGGAGGTGAAGGTCTGAAGTTATTATTATTATTTTGTTTCTACCACCCTCGCCTTTCTTTTCCATTTTTTTTTTTTTAACAATCTCAGATTCTCTCAGTTCATAGGACACACACACACACACACACACACACACACACACACACAGAGTTAGATCGGGAAACAAAGAAGGGTCCTTTAATTCCTTGGCCTGCGGGAGCACTCACGCCTCTCACCCCTCCCCACCCCCATGATGAGGTCCCCCATATGACTTTCATTAATGAGGGAGCCAAGGCGAGAGGTCTCGCCGCAGACCACTGCCAGGCGCACGGTGACAACCAGGCAGGCGACAGGCACCACAAAGAAAGGAGGAGGGACGCTCGGCACCAGGAAAAGCCAGCCAACGCCGCGCCCCCCAAGGCGCGTCCCCACCGCCGAACCGCGGCGGCCGGCAGCCGTCCCGGCCAGCCCGCTCTTCCTCCTCCTCCACCTCCTCGCTCATCCCCCCCCCCCCCCCAGTCGCCTCCCTCGCCCCGGGGACGCGACACCAGGGCTCGCGCGAGCTGGGCGTGCGGAGGGGGCCGCGGACCTGCCCCGGGTCAGGGACCTCCCAGGTGACAGCTCCGCGCCTCTCATTGTGCGGGACTCAACCTCACAGCCCCCCCCCCGCCCCCGGGATGCGCCAGACCCTCCTCCGCATCCCTCCCGGGCTCGGGGCCACCCCGAGTGTGTGTGCCGGGAGGTGGCGGGCGGCGGGGGGCGGTGGAGGCTGCAGGCCCGCGGGGTTCTTCAGCATCCCGGACCTGAGCGCGGACCCGGACCCGGACCCGCCCCGTTCCTCAAGCCCCAGCCCGAGCACGGCGGCCCTTCACAGCTCGGTCTTCCTTCCTTCACTTACTCTGACGGGCGTGCGGGACGGTCCGCGGGCCAGGGGCAAGTTGCGTGCGCAGGACGGCGAGCGGCGAGTGCCCGTGGGGACACCGCGAGGCTGAGGTGGCAGAGACAGGACTGCGGGCGAGCGGCCCCCGGCGAGGGGCGGGCCCGGCGGGGGAGGGGGCGCCGCGCCTCTCATTCATGCAGCGGGGGCGGGGTGAGGAACCCGGATGCCCAGTCCCCTCCCACTCCTCTGAGGGCGCGCGGCTTCAGCGTCTGCAGTGCGCACGCGCAGCTCTTGTGGACCTGGGCACGGCCTCCGCTGTGCTGGTGCCCTGTCTCAGCGCTCAGCAGGGTGGCTTAAGCTCGCTGCTCAGTTGTGTGGTGGGTTTTCTGTTTGCTTGCCTGTTTGTTTTGCATGCCCTGTGTCTAACAGTAAAAGATGGAAGCTTCACCTCTTTTTCTTTTGTCGGTCATGGGGCCTGAACTCTGGGCCTGGGCGCTGTCCCTCAGCTCTTCAGCTCAAGGCTAGCGCTCTACCACTTGAGCCACAGCGCTACTTCCAGGTTTTTCTGCTTATGTGGTGCTGAGGAATCGAACCCAGGGCCTCATACATGCAAGGCAAGTGCTCTACCACTGAGCCACCTTCCCAGCCCCTCTTCATCTCTTTACTTGGAAATCCCTGGGGACACATGGATGAGTCCGAGAGTAGGGTACCATCTCCTTATGTAGGGGGTTGGTGCACACTGCCCTCTCTGTCTGCCCTTCCTGAGCAGGACCATGGTGATGGATGAGACCCAAACTCTGCCCGGATAGTGGACAGAAGTATGTACCAGAAACAATGCACCCCTTTATTTAATTGCATCTATCTAGTTCTCTCAGCCGGCTCTCATTCCTTGGGACAAGAAATTGTAACTTCAAGCCTGGTGTGTGTGTGTAAGGTCTTGACCCAAACTAATCACAGGGCAGTAGGATCTACAGAGGCTCCAAGAATCTGTGGGGCCATTCTTGTTTTCTGCTGGTAGTTTATTCTTGTTCCTAGCCTAGCCCCTTAGCCTTTGGAGCTGGAAACTTGTAGCAAACCCCTGTAGAGTGTGGGGACTCGGGTCTTGCAGAAATGATTGTCTACTTTTCCAAAGTTCCCATGTCCCTCTGCAGTTCCCCTTCCTTTATTCTTCAGGTAAACCATGAATAGTAACTTAACTTTGGAAAGCAAAAGCCATTATTCATTCCTCCTGCTTTGGCAAACCATAAACCTCCAAGGAAAGAGGGAAGAGGAAACATCAACGATCATTTCAAGAAAAATACCCTTCTACCCAATGGTCATGGACACAGTCACAATCCTCCAAGGTGAATGAAGGCTACAGGCATGAGTGAGAGTATAGGGCTTTTCTATTGGAGCTGCCTGTCCAGGGCTGTGGACCCATGTCCTTCCAGACTCAAGCCAGAAAGCTGGATCCAAGTCCCTAGTCTTTTTGCTCTCTGTTGCAGTTTGCTGTTTGATACTTTTCACTGTCTAAATCAGGGTTCATTTCTCCCCTGGGCAGACACCTCAATCTATTCACATGCAAATCTATTTGTATGATATGCAAATCTGGTGTGTTTCTGTTTTTCTTTTTCCCTTCCCCATCTGACACCTTGAGACTCATTTTCCAGTCATTTCCGGAACAGCACCCTTGATGAACATGATTCCTGCGGATCCCTCTACTAGGAAGAAAACATCTAGCGAGACGCAAATGTCTTTTTCCTCCAAAAATTCTCAGAGTATTTTTAAGGCAGTGAAAGTACTCTGTATGTGTGTGATACTGTGATGGTGGGTACATGTCCTTGTACATTGTGCAAACATGTAGAGTGTCCACTCACTAGAGCGAGTCCTAATTTAATAAGCCATGGACTTTGGGTGATAAAGGCATGTCAGTGTAGGCTCATCAGTTATAAAGAATAAACCATTGTGTTGGGGGTGGCAGAGGGAATAAGAGATTCTCACATTGCTGTTACCTCCCTTTTCTGTGAATCAAAAACTGCTCTTAAAAAGCTTATTTTTTAAGAGACACTTTTTAATGGAGTCCTCCTTCCTGCCTCCACAGTGGACACAATTTCCTTTGAAATCCCCACCTGTGCCCTGTACCCATTTCCATCTTGGCACCAGACACCCTTTGAGGTCCCCACCCATTTGCATATTTTTCCATCATCACAATATGAATGCTGCAATAGCAGGGGCAGTTTCTCCTCAGGATCAAGTGTGTGACTGTGACTGTGCACAATGGACATCAATGGACATGTAATAATTGTTAGTAGAGGGGATATCACTGGTGGCCCAGGGAGGTTCCTTGGGAGAGGAAAAGTTGCATTTTTTTTCTTTGTATTCCCTTCTGTGGTTTTCTTCACCTGGCCTAGGGTTTGGAAACCTGTTTTATTTGTTTATAAAGCTTAGCTAGTAGCCACTAGTCTAAACCAGCTATAGGGAGAGGGTGGAGTGGCTCTAGCTTCATGTCCTTTGTGCTTATGAAAATGAGGTATGAAAAAGAAAGAGAAAATACAAGGACCAGAAAGGCTTTGCTACTTCCCAGAAAATTAAAATTTTATGGAGGCATGAGTTAGCCCATGGCCTTTTGGGGATGAGTTAGCTCATGGCCTTTTGGAGTCAAGGGAACCTGCCTCACAGCTTCTGGGTTTTTTTCTTTTTTCTTTCTTTTCTTTTCTTTTTTTCTTTTTTGCTAGTCCTGGGGCTTGAACTCAGGGCCTGGGTACTCCCTGAGCTTCTTTGGCTCAAAGCTAGCACTCTATCACTTGAGCCACAGCACCATTTCTGGCTTTTTCTATGTATGTGGTACTGAGCAATCGAACTCAGGGCTTCATGCATGCTAGGCAAGCACACTACCACTAAACCACATTCCCAGCCCTCACAGCTTCTACAACATATGTTAAGATGCTGCCCTTTGGTTCTTTATTCAATTTGAGGTATTTTTGGCCTTCTGGTATTTCCAGCTGGAAATTCACCTGCTCATCTGTGATCCTATTTGTTTAAACCTTTCCTACTCCTTTAGTTAAAATATTTGTGGTGCACCAAAAGCATACAAATGGACCAGGTATATGGAGGGAGATCTGGAAAGTTCTTTCCTAGAGGGTTTAGGTGGGCTCCTAGACATCCAGAACTTGAAAGAGTCACTTCCTAGCTAAACACATTCCTTTGTTCCATATGATGATCAGGGGTGTGGGGTGAGGAAGACTTCATGGAATAGGGCTTAAGAAGATATTCTTCTTTTCCAGTCCTCTTACTATGGTTTGAATGTGTTTGCCAAAGTTCATGTACTGGACATTCAGTGTTTAATGAAATAGTTCTAAGAAGTGGGAGTTTTAAGTGGTGATTAGGTGAATGAATTAATGCTTTATTAAAGAACTGGGTTTCTAATAAAAGGAAGAGATTGGCACCCATCTCTCTTTCCCTTAGATGAACACTATCTTGCCTTTCTGTCTTCCACCATTTTCAATACAGCAAAGAAAGCCCATACCAGGTATCAACCCCTTGATTTTGGACATCCCAGCCTCAAGAAACAGATTTAAAAAAATAAATATGTACTTAGTTACAGCAGCAAAATAAGAACTAAGAAAGTACCTCTCCCATCCTCTTCCATCTCCTTTCTACATTATACCTCCTTAAAAATATTTTCCTCATTCCAAACCTATCTCAGAAAACTCTACCTATACCCATATAGTCAGAAGTCCTTCAAGACTCCTCCTAGAAAAGAAATGATATCTAATTTTATGTGGCTGGGACTAATTTTGGACAGCAGCTTTCTGGATGGTGACTATATTGAGAACGGGAGCGTGTTTTAGTCATCTTTGAATCTGGCACTCAGTACAAGTTTATTCAGTGACAGCCTCACTTGTCAAGGCAAAACCAGTCTTTGAAACAGAAGCCAGAAATCAAAGGCTGTCTACATCCCAGCCCTTCTGTCTATTCTGGTGCAGTGGAGTGGTGGGCACTGTGCTAAGATAAAAACATCCCTCCTACTGTTTAGATACTTGACTGCTTGATTATTTAGAGTTCTGAATGACTCCTTTCAAGGACTATCCTACAATACTTTGATTCCTTAAATTTAGCTTGGTGAAGAGCCCCAATAGTTTCTGTGAGAGCAGAAATTGTTCTGTGTTTTCTGAGCCTCTCCATCCGAACAATTCTAAGATATCCTTCTTGATAATTTTCCCCTTTTCACAGGCCATGTGGTGCCTCTTGCTGGGCCAAGACCTTGCCTGTGGAAGGGAATTGCTTCTCACTATGGGATGTGTTAACATGACAGTGGAGCAGTAGAGTGGAGAGGAAGCATAAGCACCTGTATTCATGGTCCTTTGGAGCCTGGAGGTGTCCACCTTTAGATTAACAAAGGAGGTAAAGAGCCACGATTCTATTTCCCAGGCCACCAAAAATCACTTTGTCTTTCTGGTGCATGCACAGATCCAGTCACCCAAACAAAACTCAGAGTTCCTGAAACATAGGTATGCCCAGACTCTTATGTGGTTGCTTCTTAGCTGAGACTAGTCATAGAAGCAGATGAGGAGGTAGGGACAAATTCCTAGGGACAGCATAACCTGCTTAGACACACTTTTGGATTGGAAGTCACTCATCTTTGTCTGGACTCTCCCAAGAGCAGACTTTGAGATGGGGACTTAAATGAGGGTAATTTATTTGGGAAGCATCCCAAGCATAACAAAAAATAGTAATGAGTAAGGAAGGGCAGGAAGCCAATACTACCAAAGTTTGTTGATTAGCTAGTTACTGCTGTGGGCAACTGGTGTTCAGCCTTGCTGGAAACCCACTAAGCAACCAGAAGGGAACAGCCTACAACACTGTCTTTCTGGATGATAAGAGGCCGGAGTGTTTATCCACTGACTTCAGTCTCTCCATTGCTGAGGGTTGACCATCAGGGAACTTTCAAGTTCCATCTGCTAAGCAAGCTGTCTCAGCCCAGCTCTTCTCCAGCTATTAGTTGTACAGTTCTTACCATGGCTGCCATCCTTTGAAATACCCATCACCCCAATTTCTACCTTTCTTGATTTTGCTCACCTCATTGTGCCACCACCTTGTCTCTGCTGAGTCTCAGGTCTAAGCTTGAAAGAGGAAGTG